TTCCTCACCAAAAAAAGAAGAAGAAAAAACAAAAGATACCTGGCTCCTATCTATAATGATAGATTTAGTACTTGCAAAAAGTTTATTGAGAAAATTTTTACTTCCAGTCAAAACACAAAGATTTAAGGACTCCTATCCAATTTCTACTTGGCATTTACACTTTTGTCTAATGTTTTGAGACACTTAATTTTCCAGGTTGAACACACAGAATGCAGACAAATCTAATGTGCTCATGACATCAGAATTATTCATGAATGTGAAATTCTAGATCAAAATAGTCAAAGCAATCTGCTATGCCATTTTTGGTTTTAAAAGTTTAAAGTGAGGAATTCTTAAAGAAAATTTCCTATTTTCTATCGCACTGTGTCTACTGCAAACATTCCTGAAGAAGCAATGACATGAGAGCATTGCTAGCACCCCTAATAGGCTTATACACATCAAAGTAACTGGCCGTCGTGGAAGAGCAGTAAACTGAGGGTCAGGAGACTGGACTCCAGCATCAGCCCTGTCATTCACTTACGAGGTGCCTTTGGGTACACCGCAAAGCTTCTCTGGGACTGAGACAACCTGGCTTTCTCAAGTCTTAGCCAGCTTTAAAATGCTCTGATTCTGTCTCAGGATTTTAGACAGCTGAGTGGATGCTAAAGTGACATACTTCTAAGGATGCACAGGATTGTTCAGGTTAATGACCATGCTTAAATGAACAATTTTATCGTCTCACTCAATAGAAAGCCACCTGACAAGATGCAAACACAAGGGGTTAACATATCTTTCTACTGTGAATATCACTCAGGAGAAATTAAAATAGATTCAGGCACTGCACATGGGATTATGTCATCTCACTCGACAAACAGTTTCCTTTCTCTGGCTTTCAAATTATAGAGCTGGTGTGGATCAGCCGTTTACAGCACGTCCCTGAGGGCTGTGAATGAGCTCTGGGACAGGTAAGCATGGGCACCGCCCACGTCCTGTAAACAGCAAGGATCCAGATAAATGAGACGTCCGACCAACTTCTAGAGGACAGCCAGCCAGTACACTGGGCTACTCTTTGGGGTATCTTCTCTGAGAGAAAAATCAAAATGCTCTAACTATAAAATCCATTTCATTCACAAAATTTTAAAATGCTTTTTACTTCTAAACTTGCACAAGTAAATTTAAAATTTAAAATTTTTTTAAAAACCAGAAGCATTTGACTTTTTAGGCTGTGAGAAGAAAATATTCTTTGAACAATTAAATACTAATTAATTTTCTGACAGGGAAGTTCATTTAAAGGTTTTGCTATACCTTTTTTGGGGGCCCAGATGCCTTTCTTTCTTTTCTTTTTTGCTTTTTTTGGTGAGGAAGATAGTCGCTGAGCTAACATCTGAGCCAGTCTTCCCCTATTTTGTATGTGGGATGCCACCGTAGCATGGCTGATGAGTGGTGTGCAGATCCACAACCGGGAACAGAACCTGTGAACCCTGGGCTTTGGAAGAGGAGCACAAAAACTTAATCACTATGCTACTGGGCTGACCCCCAGATGCCCTTCTTAATGTAAATTTTATTTTATCCTTTACTTTTCTATATTTTCTTAATTTTCTTAACATACTAGCACTACTTTCATCATCAGTAAAATGAAGAAACTTTAAAAACAGGAAAATGCAGCTAGTATTAATTTATTTAAAAAAATTAGCACCAACTTTGATATACTCATCAGTTTCTGAAACTTTTTTCCAATAACTTATATTCCTGAAATTGATCATGTTGTGATTTTGTATAAAATTATTTCAGAAATCCTAGTAGAAGACAGAATGATGCTTCACTAAAGGCAGACTTTTATTGGGTTATTGACTGATGTTGGAATTAAGTTTCCGTGTAACTACTGGCTGTCATTTTAGTTCTCCAAATTTATTTCAAATTACTAGGAATTGGCTAGATGAGTCAAGTTATGAATACTCTAAATTAGATATCACATTTATACAGACATCACGCAAGCACCCAGGATTCAGAATGACATGCTGCAAAGACAACATCTGTGTATTTCATAAATTTGTTCACGGGCATTTTAGTTCACAAAGGGAATTTTATGTTGGATGCTAGTTAGCTCAGCCTTTTGGAATGAAACTTTAGGTCTCAGTCTATGGTTACTACAGGGCAGTGCATACTCCTCCTTATCTTCTTAGCAGCTGCAGCTGAAAGCTTAGGTAGCAAAGTGTCCCCATTGCAGCATAAAATACCATCTCAGGGAGTGGTCATCAGGGAACTGAACATCAGCATCACCCAACGTCAGGAGCATCTCCTTTCAGCAGCTGGAGGCATGTGGGACCAGGGTGGGATGGCCCACTGTCAGCATATACAGCCTGCAAATCTATCCCACTTTAAAGAGAATTTTTAACTTTAAAAAGCAGATTTATATAAGGTAATAGATACCATGAAAATGTGTCTCCCTGATCACATTACTCATGATATAAAATGGAGTAGGCATAGTCAGTCCTGTAGGCTGGGCAGATTCTTATAGCTCTAGGAAATGGAACAAATCTTTCAAGGTGGGTCCTTTCTGAGGAGTGATGAACACTCGGTGCCCTCTGTGGTGGAGGTTCTTTACCATCTGCTGTTGATTTCGCCTGTCTGCTTTGGTAGCGGCTAAGTGAACCTTCGAGGTCATGGCTTATTTGTTGTATTTTCCAGATCCATTTAAAGTAAGCATTTAAAAATTGCAACATTAGTTTTAAAAAGCATATTGATTGCATGTTGATTAGATAAAAATTAGCTTAAACTATATCTGAACTTAGTTTCAAGTATATTTTCTGACTATATACTACAATCTTAGATTAGAAAAGCAACAGTACACAAACAATTGAGTGCCAAGTTACCCATGGCGGAATGAACACATATACTGTTGTTAGTGCTGTGGAGTTGATTCTGACTCCTAGCGATGCTGTGTACAGCAGAGTGGAAGCCTGCTCTGTCTTTTTGCGCCATCCTCTCATCTTCCTCCACCATATGAGACAATGCTCTGCTGCTATTCACAGGGTTTTCATGGCCAATTTTTTCAGAAGTGGGTGACCAGGGCCTTCCTCCTAGTCCGTCTTAGTCTGGAAGCTCTGCTGAAACCTGTCCACCATGAGTGACCCTGCTGGTATTTGAAATACCAGTGGCATAGCTTTCAGTATCACAGCAACATGTGGCTGCCACAGTATGACAATGACAGACGGGTGGCGTGGTTCCCTGGCTGGGAAGAGAACCTTGACTGTGGCAGTGAGAGCTCTGAACCTTAACCACTAGACCACCAGGGCTGGCTGAATACGAACACACACACACACACACACACACACACACGTCATCAACCAAGACGGTTCTTAAGTGATCCATCTGGTCTGTTTAAAAATAAAAACTTGAAGAATGAAGCAGCCACCACTGTCATCACTTCTTCATGAAGAAATATCACAGACTTCATGATTGGGAGATTTTCCCCTTCCATTACATACATTTTCCTTTATGTAATGTTATCTATTACTTTTAGTTACCATTTTAGGTTATTTCTCAAAAATCCTGTTTCCCCTTGCTACTCTTTAATTACATCTAGATTATTGTCAACACTGCCTCCTTTTTCTTCTCTCTCCATTCTACTGCTCAATCTATTAGTCATTATTTGGCTCTTATCTATAGATTTGATATTTTAATCCTTTGTTATAAGTTGGTTCTTTCAATTCCAGTTGGTTTTTAAATTCTTCCAGTCATCTCATATTTTTCTAGATCTCATCTTCCTTTTGGCTTATCACTTAAAATAGTCTCAGCTATCACGTAGGAAAAAAAAAAAACCAAGAGAAACTTGATTTCATTGTTTCTTTCAACTGTAATAATCTAAAAGCATTCATGCAAAAGGATATTGATTTAATCAGTAGTATTAAATCATGTTCTTACAATACATAAGACAAATTTTAAATATTAAACAAAAGTGAAAAGAATCATCGCCATTACAAAAAGCTCCTGGAGACACATATAAAAAGCTTCTGACACGTTCTTGCTGTCACACTAAGAATCAGTACAATTAACAATAAGTATTGAGAACAAAGAAAGAGAAGAAAGCACTCCCTTTAACTGAAGCTCAGGAAAAAAGCAGATGATGTAATTTAGAGGGAATCATGAATTCTATCAACAGATAACAGTAAAATCCACTCTTAGGAAAAAAACACATACCATGTTATACTTATGCATGTATTTATAATGTTGTACATATATATTCTGCTTTAATATGTTAAAGCAGAAGGGCATATTAAAAAAAAAAAGGTAAATTCTACTGTTCCTCAGTCATATAAATCAAACCTCACTTTCTGAAAATCAAACCAATTCCTTACAAACAGAAAAGGACTTGGAGAAAGTTCTATTAACATGAATAAAGATTTTTTTTTTAAAAGGCCACAAAATGAGCATTTAATTAACACACACATACACACACACACACTTTCTTTAGGCTGTTGAAATATAAAGTCTTTAATTCTCCATTAAAAAAAAAAAAAAACCCTGATTATAAGCTTTAAAACCATTTGAAGATGTGAAAGACTGTCTGCGTTTCAGCCTACTTCAAAGCCAGTAAAGAAATCATTTCTTCTTCTTCCAACTCAAAGTATGTTTAGGAGCAGGACATCTGATAGAAGTGGTATTGCCAATCTAACCAATTTTAAAATATAAAGTGCTTCTGGCAATATTTGGATACATGTAATTTGACAAAAAAGTTTTATAAACCTAAGCTTTGAAAAATAGAAAACATAAGCCCCAACAAAAAAGCATAATTTGTAATTGAAAGAAAATAATATTTTGTAGAAAAAAATTGTCCTTCCAAAAAGAGACAAAAATGACTAACTTTTATTTCCCAAGAGAATTATGCCACTTTTATACAACAAAATTACAGTCACCACAAATTGCTTTCAACAATTCCATTGCTTCTTCATTTGACCACTTGAAAATCAAAATTCTTTCAGATTATAAATATAACTTTTTATAACTCTGTTATTACGTACTGTGAACGGGGAAAGGGGGCCAATCTTGTGGCCGTAGCGTCGAACGGCCTCTCTGATGTGGCAGGGCTGGATGGCATCGCTGTGGGCCTCAACACCACAGGCCGCAGGGCTCTGCGACAGAAAAACACATAAATTGTTACTAAATCAAAAACACACAACAGAACTGCAGTGTATAAAATATGAAAATAAACTTTCATAAACTGGACGTTTTCCCCTTAGGATGCACATCACTGTGCCATATACTGCAACTAAAAAATCCAGTAACAAATCCAAGGCTCCTGCACACGGCCCATTCCTAGCAGATCTACCAAACGCAAGCTTCATGCCCACAATATTTCACCCAGGTCTGCCCATCAAGGTACAGGAGAATACAGCCACTTGCGTGCAGATGAAAAGTGTCATGGCGGCTAGTTGAAAGAACCACAGGAAGCTGTTCTTTTAAAAAACATTTAAATATTTATTATTATAAATGTTTCTTGGGAGCTTGTTGGGTATATTTCTGAAATAACTTGAGAGTCATCAATTTTAAAATGAAAAATGTAAAATTGCTATATATTTATTTATAGTACTGGGGACTGTCATAAAAGATCATTTCAACTTGGTTCCTAATTTTCGAGGTGCCCTCAGGGCAGAAACAAAATAAAACAAAAACTTCCTATTTTAATCTGTCTCTTCTGTAAAAGGCGGGTTTTGAAGTACAAAAAGACAGAAGAAAGACAAAGATTATTTGCAATGAGAGTATGAATATCAACTCAAGAAATGTGTGTAACGTGATTTTTTTAAAAAAATGAAAATGCTCAATAGAGGGGTTAGAGTTTCGCGGCTCAGTTGCAGGCTCTGGCTTCCCAACTGCCTGGGTCCAGATCTCAGCCCAAGCAGTCACCAGCTCTGTCAAGTTAGCTACTGTCTCTGCACTTCAGTGTCCTCATCTGTCAAATTGGGATAATAATTACATTTGCTTTATAGGAGTGTTGTAAAAATTAAATGAGTTGATATACCTAAACCACTTAGTGCCAGACACGTTAGCTACTAATAGTATTAGGTTATTATTTAAATTAAGAGTTAAAAATGGAACCTCCATGTTCTGAAATGATAAGCTAATTTGTTTTAAAGTGCAGTGGATACCAGATGTCAGGGCACCAAGAGTTAAGAGTTAAGAGAAAGAAACAGTGGCTTGTGTATTACTATGACTAGAAGTCATTCTAGGTCATTCAGTCACATAATTATGATAATTGTTTTTCTAATACTTCCTACAATTACCACTCTCATACTTCCTTGTGGGGTATAACTAGTACAACCTCTATGGATAGTGATTCAGCAAAATCTTATCAAAATGAAAAAGTAAACCGTTTTTGACTCAGCAACTTCACCTCTAAGAACTTATCCTACAGATATATTACACACATAATATATATATGGATATTCACTGCAGCACTATTTGAATTGATAAACTAAATGTTCATCAATGAGGGAACACTGAAATAAATTATGATACATCCACTCAACAAAACAGAAACCTTAACAACCACTGAAAAGAATGAGGCAGTTCCAGACATACTCCTATGGAGCTCTCTCTAAGCTATATTGTGAGAAAAAATGCAGGGTGTCCAATTTGGTGGCACTATGGTACCAATGGTTAAAAAAAAAGAAGGCTATACATTTACACTCATTGAAGCATTGAATATTTCTGCAAGGGTACACCCAAAACCAGTAACAGTGCTTATCTCTTGGAGGATAAATGGGTAGCTGGAGGACAGGAGGTAGAGAAGACATTTTTCATTGCGTATTTTTCTGCACTTTCAAAATATACTTTTTGTATCTTGTGCATGCTTTTGCTATTAGAAATTAGTAAAATAATTTAAAAATTCCAACAAAATGAGAGCACTGCTAATTATCCAAGTTGAACCTAAAAAAAGACTTAAATATAGGGGCCAGCCCAGTGGCGCAGTGGTTAAGTGCACACATTCTGCTTCTCGGTGGCGAGGGGTTTGCCACTTCGGATGCTGGGTGTGGACATGGCACTGCTTGGCACGCCATGCTGTGGTAGGCGTCCCACAAATGAAGTAGAGGAAGATGGGCACGGATGTTAGCTCAGGGCCAGGCTTCCTCAGGAAAACAGAGGAGGACTGGCAGTAGTTAGCTCAGGGCTAATCTTCCTCAAAAGTAAAAAAAAAGACTTTAATATAAAGCAAAACAGATCTTGATTATTTTTACTATTTTAACAAGATTTGAAATAAGCTGAATAGGAATTTACTCTAGGGTATCTTTCTCAATTTAATTCCAACAATACCCTAAATAACATATCTGCTATGCCCATAGTAACACGGATTAAGTTATCTTAACCCCTCACTTTGGCACTATACAAAGGTGCACAGGATTTTCTTTTTTTGATGCTTTCTCAATTCTCATTCCAAATACTTTTTTTCAGTTGGAATATGTTAGAATAAATGCAATTATCAGGTATCAGATAAGTGTAAAGCCTCTTCTGTGAGTCCGTTCAGCTCCAAAATATGAATATGACTAATATAGACATTAACTTGCAAGGTATAACAGATGCTTGTGGAGTAAGTTGACGCATTCCACCCATTTGTGGACATGAATGCAAATATTTAGCTGAATTTGGAATCTAAAGTAAGTTTTCCAGTGGAAACTCAGGCGGAAATACAAAAAAAGAGACATCAAGAGGGTAAATATCCTGCATACTAAATAGGGTGGAAAGCCCTGCCTGTGTATTCTTCTATGGCATCTCCTTTCCCCCTGCAAATTGGATTTATTTTCCATTTCTTTTCTCCATGGTCAATAGAAATTCTACTCTTCCTCTACTTTCCCAAATAAATTTGGTTTTGGTATAGAACGTTTCGGTCAAAATCACTCAGCATCTCTGGCATGGCAATCAAATAGTATTTGAGAACACTGAAGCAGGAAGCCTAAGTTAGAAACTACCTGTGACTGCTATTTGTAAGATACGGAGACAAGGACGCCAGCCTGGGTGAATCATGTTATCTTTGCCAAAAAGATGAAGTTAACTTATATAAAAAGAAAAATATTCAATTTTATGAAGAATGTCATTAGATTTTCCATTTTGCCAATTTCAGGTTTATCTGCTATAAATAAGCAACTTAAACATTAGCATAAAGTTACCGTGTGCACTTCTATACTTCCCTGATTTGCCCACTGAGTTCTCTGGAGGGGAACTTTTAAATCTAAAATGTTGTATTCCCAGTATTGTTTCCACCTCAACAAACAGCTTCACATTTGTGGCAATATCCAGTCCCTCACCAAGGTATTTGTAATCTGTGCAAATTCAAAATTCATACCGAGTTTAGAATTTTTTTAAAGATTTTATTTTTCCTTTTTCTCCCCCAACCCCCTGGGTACACAGTTGTGTATTTTAGTTGTGGGTCCTTCTAGTTGTGGCATGTGGGATGCCACCTCAGCATGGCTTGATGAGCGGTGCCATGTCTGCGCCCAGGATCCGAACTGGCGAAACCCTGGGCCGCCGAAGTGGAGCTCATGAACTTAACCCCTCAGCCACTGGGCTGGCCCCTCAAGTTTAGAATTTTTAATTTAGCAGTGACTCTAACATTTTAATAATATTCTTCAAAATTGTATCAGAAGAATTAGCATTAAATTTATATGTTTGTTATGTAATATTAAAAAGTCTTACATCTGCTGTAAACACATATGAAGGGTATTAGAGTTATGTATCAATTCATCTTTCCTATTCTGATTGTGCCTACATTTTACGATATTCTTTAAATTTTCAAAACGAATTACATATATTTGACAACATACTGAGTCCTCTCGTCTATAGAGTGTCAAAAGCTCTGTAGGACTAAACTTTATTTCCTTAAGTAAAGTAAAGGCTTACTAAAGTAAAAGCTTGGTACATTTCTTCATATGTCAGTTCCTCTTCCTCTTGGTTGCATTCATATTCCATTCTTGTATTCTTCCATTTCATCTTTATTCATGTCACTTCATCCAAAAACTGATGCTGGGTACTGGAAGCTGAAGTATCATATGGAGTTCTATACTTCCTAGATTTGAATATCGTCCCTCTGCTTGTCCTTGCTGGCTTGCAGTGAATAAAATCTCTCAGCAGTTTGCACTGTCAACTGTGGCACAAGGAAGTCATATTGAAATGTCTGTTGCCCCTGGATCTCTTACAAAGGTCTGTAGGTCCTAACTCTTTTCTTCCCAATTTAAAAGTTCTTGTCAAGGTAAAAGTGTCCTTTCCTGTATCAGTGTTCCCATTGCCAAGGACCTGGAATCTCAGATAATTGCCTCTTCTTCGTTCCACACACATAATGGTGGATTAGATCTCTTGTTAAACTTGAAATACTAAGTCTTACAGAGGAGTAAATATCTCAGACTAGAGAAAATGAAAGGTTAGTACTACTATTACTAGTACTTCTGCCACTTACTGACCACAAAGGTTGACATAATCCGACTGGCCAGGCAAGTGTCTTCTCTCTCTCAGACCTTCATCTTATAGAAGCTTTCTTTTCAGAAGAAGGTGGGTCATTCTTTGGCCAATGGTTACAGCATATAATCTAGTTAATGTTCTCATTTCAAAGTTTAATTAAGATGTTAATTGTTAAAACTGTAGTTCTATATAACTAGGGAAAGCTTTAACTGAGGAAATTAAAACTAGAAAAGGTATTTAAGGAGAAGACAGGAGAGAATCACTGAATTCAAGGATTCATATATTATTAAATCTGGAAGGAACAAAAGATATCACCTATTCTAAACTTTCCCAACTCCTACCTTATTTTATAGATGAGTGAGTGAAGATAAAGGACGTGCCAAAGATTACAATGATGGTATCAGGATATGGCTATACACTGAATCTCCTGGCTCCTAGTACACACAGCTGGCATATAATAGAGGCTTTATTATTTTATGTAGAATGAATTGTACCATATTACCACTATAGCTTATGTTTGCAGTGAGCAGAAATCAAAATATAGCAAGAAACTGAATGTAAAGATGTGGATGAATAAATAGAGAAGTAATTAATAGCTCTAAAGTGAGACATTATTAATTCTGATGTCAGTAATTTTGAATTTAGGAGAATTCAGACTTAGACTGGGCTAATACTTATTTTACTC